AATAAAAAATACTTAACTTTTAATTAATAATTAATTAATAAATATAAAAATTTAAAATAGTACATAGTAGCAGTGACCAGCTTGCAAAGTTTAGGAGTCATTTGAGAACAAAAGATTAAATAAATTATTAAAAATTTCTCTATAGACAATATTTTTCGTATAGATATTACCATCATCAGATCATGTATTATTTACCAAAATTTTGATTGTTTCATATGAAGTCACTCTAGAAAGAACTATATAGAGTTGTCTATGTAAAAAAACTGATTGCGACAAAGAGAGACCAACTAAAGAAATAGTTTGATCTTGACCTTTATTAATAGTCAAAGCATAGGCCAAATAAACTAGAAATTGCTTATGTATTAAAATAAAAGGGTAGATAGTATCAGAAGGTAATAAAGTCATTTTTGGAAAAAAAAACCTTTGTCCAAGAAATGATTCTGTAAGAATTTTACAATCCAGAACATGATTATGAAATCCTTTCACAATAAGCCTAGTCCTATTATATAAACCTTCAGAAGGATTTATATTACGTAAAAGTATTACAGATACTTCTATTTTAAGAATAAGCTTATGTAGAAGCAATCCACTTGGTATCAGTGTGTTGAGAAATTCTATTAGATATAAACTTTCATGAACAGAATTTATATTTTCAACAAAATCAGTAGAATAAAAAATTTGTTCCGCTTTCAGAATCAAATTAAGAACTTGGTTGTTAATTAATTCTACATTATCATTTTTGGGTATAAGAATAGCTCTCTTAACAATAAAATTACTATCATTATATCTTGTAGAAATATGTAGAAATATCTCTGATATTAATAAAATAATATCATTGCTATCTAAAATTATAGATCTTGGTAATTTAATATAATCATCACCAGTTGTTGGTTCTCAACCTTCACCAATACGAAGCAAAAAGTTTACAAAATCTTGTTGTGATGCATTATGAAGAACTCGTATATTAATAGTTAATTTCATAGTTTGAATATGTGGCCATAAATATGAGCATTTTAAACTTGAATTAACTATTTGAGTCCTTGATCCTCGAGGTACTACTAGAAGAAGTTGCCTAAAGTCACCACCAAATAGCATAACCTTGCCTTCAAAGAACTCTAAATTGCTAGTCAGATCCTGAAATATTTGATCAAGTGCTTCAAAAGCTAATTTGGTAACTATTGGAGCTTCATCCCAGAGAATAATTTTAGCTTCATTAATCAAAACTGCTAATTCAGATTGCTTTAAAATATTACAGGTAGAGTTTTCTATAGGTTTCAAAAGAATTTTAAATCATGAATGTGCAGTTCGACCACTATCTAGCAACAAAGCAGCAATTCTAGAAGAAGTAACAGCTAAAGCAACATGGCCTTCAAATCTAATTCGTGCTAAAATAATATTATAAAGATAGGTTTTACCAGTTCCACCAGGGCCATCAAGAAAAAAAACTTTTGAATTCCTTTATTATAAACAGAATCAATTATTGTATCAAATATATATATTTTTTTTAGTATTAAGGTGACCTCTTGATCGTGTTATACTTTATTGAGTTAGAACATCATTATACATATTTGGAGAGTACATTTAGCCATATCTGAGCCTTTTGAGCGCCTATTTAAGTAGTCTGCCTATTTTTAGATTCTACACTATTTGCCATGCTGCAACGCAGCTAGAGGGTTACCCATTTTAAACCCTCTGCGCCTATATACTCCGAGGCCCATATCAATTGGCAACTTTTCTCTAGTTTCTACAAACAAGTTCTTCTTGATATACTATTTTACATATATCGACCTAGGACTACTTTATCCTCGAGGTAAATCTGGCAGAGCCCGTAGTATTCCCACTTTATACCGCACCTAGCCTGCGCTTCAGTTTGGTATATACGACCGAAGCCCACCACTTGCAGCTCAGTTTGTTCTATTCTGGGAGTGTATGGTGCTGGGTCAAGGTCATTGCCTACAGTTGATTTTCTAGTTTATACTTTCTTCTGCTTTCTTTCTACGGTTTAACCTTAGTTTTCAGCTGAATTCCACTATCTAAATCTACTTCTGTCCTTGTAAAGTTCACTCAAACCCCAGAATTTACTTCACAGTATATCTCCAGTACTTTAGTAATCTAGTTCCCTTTATCTAGACTTCCAATCCAGATAGCCCGGTATGTGTTACTTATTTTCATCTGAATTTGATAGCAGCCTAGTTGGTATAGGTATTTCCTTTTTCGTCTAGTAGCAGGGGCCCCAACCCTGGTTTCTAGACTTCCAATCTAAATAGCCTGGTAACTATGCACTTTTCCTCTGTTCTAAGCAGATATCCTGAACCTTGATGGATCTTTATCTTGCCACTAAGCCACATGCATTGCAGCTCCTTCACCTCGGTTCCTAGGTCCTTTTTTTTATTACAGCAGCCTGGTTGGTGTGGGTGTATCCCTAACACCCTATATTCTGTCCAGTTCAGTTTACCAGATTCAGTTTCCTGGGTCTAACCTTTATAGTAGCTTCGTCAAAAATCTGTATTACCTCTCTACTCGGAACTTGCTAAGCAGGCTTTCATATTTGCAGTTCTCTAGATTTACATGACCTAGAGGCTTATCTTGTGTTTGCACCACCCTAATATTGGTTTGTATCCCTTTGTGTAATATTATATTATACAAATACCCCAAACCTCTTAGTCTTGCTGATACGACTGTAGTTACAGGTATCCTATTCCAACTAATCGAACAAATACAGTTAGCTATAACACAAGCAGAATTTTCGAATTTTCGTCATCAGTAAAATTTGAACTCTTGACCTGCCGCTTGGGAGGGTGACAACTTGATCACTTCGCTATGTTGCTACAACCTATTGTATCAAATATTTGCTTCTGTTCATCATTTAAAGTACTAATTTTTTGTAATTGAGTATTAATATGATCCTGATTATAAATTGTTTCTTCATTAAAAAATTGATTGGTAGCATGTAAAGTAGATTGATGAAGAAAGGTTAAATCAGGTGAAGGAAGTTTAGGAAAATCTAAAAGAGATTTTCCATTTTGAAAAAGATATTTTTTCAGATCAAGAAATACTTGTATAACTATTTGAGGATCATTATAATCTAAAGCTACATGTTTAGAATTTGGATTGTAAACAAAATCTTCAATAAGGAAGCCAAATATGTATTCTAGAGCTTTAGAATATTAGTTGGATTACAATAAACTAAGATTGTTGCAAACAATTGCCTTAGTTGTTTAGGTATTGTATGAAGTGATGCTTCTCTAAGATATAAATCCCACTCTTGATCATTTTCTATTAAACCAAGTTGAATAGCTGCTATTTTAAAAGAAGGATAATATATATTATTGATGGTTTTTAAATAATTAAAAGATGTTGGCCCCTTAATATGTGTCAATAGTAACCTGAAACAATATCATTCTACATCTTTTGGATTAATCATATATATACATGCAATAACCTTATCACCTCTAAGTTTCCTTAGTTTCTATTGCTTGTTGCTCCACACATAGTGCTTTGAAAAATCAGTATATAAAAGATTAGTTGCATTTGGATCAGTAGAACATTTTTCAAAAAAGCGGATCAACTTTGTATGTGAGTTTTTATTTAATAAATTAGATAAATTCATATTAATATCATTGCTATCATATAAAACTAATTGTTCTCTATTCAAATGAACTAGTAATCTTTCAATGTGATGAGATTTTTCTTGTAACTTAA